GTTTGCCTGCCCGCAGGGGTGGTGAGCGTCGGGGAGCACAACGTGCAGGAGCTGATCGTCGCCGCCGACATGCTGCAGCTCACCGAGGTGGTGGAGCTCTGCTGCGAGTTCCTCAAGGGGCAGATCGACCCGCTGAACTGCGTCGGCCTCTTCCAGTTCTCCGAGCAGATCGCCTGTCACGACCTGATGGAGTTCACCGAGGGCTACATCCACGCGCACTTCCTGGAGGTGCAGGGTGGCGAGGAGTTCCTGGCCCTCACCAAGGAGCAGCTCGTCAAGATCTTGCGAAGCGAGGACCTGAGCATCGAGGACGAGTACCAGGTGTTCGCAGCGGCGATGCAATGGGTTCTGAAGGATGTGGGGAAAAGAAAGAAGTACGTCGTCGAAGTGCTGGAGCCTGTTCGATTCCCTCTGCTACCAGCACAAAGGCTACTAAAATACATAGAAAGTAAGTGAAAGAAGGGAAGAAACAGTATCGGGTGGCTGGATTTGAGCAGATGATCCATCCTTCAGAGTTACTGGATTTTGATGGACTTTTCAAAATTAATAGCAAGATGATTGAAAAAGATTTACTCTGTACAAACAAATTCTACTTTTTAATGAATGAGCACAGCTTACCTTAAAAACACGCGCTTTTGAAAAAGTCCTACAAAAGTAGGCAATCTTGATTAGTCTGCTGTTTTAGGAGAAGCTAGTAACTTTTCTACAACTGCTTTACTTATTGTCTGTAACTTTTCGCTGTGCCTTTTTTATTCTGCTTATTTCATCAAGGTGTTCCAGACTTCAGCCTTCGGGTGGCCCTGCAAACCCTGTTGAAAGAATATTGTGAAGTCTGTAAATCTCCCAAAGAGAACAAGGTCAGCAGTTTTCTGCAAGCTTCTAAAGGTCGTCCCCGGAGGAAAGCCAGGAAGTACCTTTATGCAGTAGGTTAGAACGTGGCTGTTTGAACCTTGTAAAACAAATGATGAAGTGGTGTCTCATACTACAGTACTGAAGGAGATAGTGGATTTTTTTGTTTTTAATCAAAAGATATAAAAATAGCAAAACGTTTGATCTGACTGAGTTACCATGTTAGCTGCTTTCTGCTTAGAACTGCAGAGAAGTCCAGCATTCACATTTCTTGTCATTATGTCATGGCATTCAAAGCCTAGATTTGCCTTTTAGAAACAGGGTGGAAAGCTGCAAGTCAGCAGAAGATTTGCCCAGAGTTCACTGCTGGAATGGTGTATGCAAATTCACTGCGCTCCTTGTTCTACTGAAGGTTGAAGTTTTCTCTGCTCAGGATACTTTGGTTGATGTGATGGGATACTTTGAAATTGCAAGTTTTCAGCAAAGCTGCAGCTTTGTATTGGAAGGGAGTGCTCTTGTTTCACCCTGTGGGAAGTAACGCTGGCTTAAGATAGCAAAGGCTGTTGGCTGGTCTTTGTGTTTTACTAAGAACACAAATGGTAATATTTGTAGCATTGTGCTGAAGTGGTCAGCTCGGGCATAAGTTACAGGACCCTTAAGGTGACCGTTCTGCCTTGTGTCATGGAGAAACAATGCTACTTGGAAAGGCCGATTCCTTCTAAAAGTGGCTAATGGCTGTTACTGTAATTTTTTAGATTATTTAGGTACAGGAATGTGGGCATGAGCAAGAAGCTCTTAGTCAGCTGTGATCTTTCCACTTACTTTCTAGGTGGGTACACCCGACTGCAAGGAGGACGCTGGAGTGACAGTAGAGCCCTCAGCTGTGTGGAGCGATTTGACACCTTCAGCCACTACTGGACCACAGTGTCCTCTCTCCACCAGGCCCGGAGTGGGCTGGGTGTGGCTGTGGTGGGAGGAATGATCTATGCTATTGGAGGTAACAGCTGAAACATGCTTTCTTTGTTACATGGATACTCACGGATGGAGATTTTAAAATTTTTTTCTTCCTGCAAGTGGTTCTGAGGAACCCAACAGTAGCTGACAACTTTTAGATCTAATAACAATTGAATTAGGATTCCTTGGTTCTCTCCGATCACTGCTCTGTGAATGCCCATTTGGGCTCCTATGTTGGCCATTTCTTACTGAGCTGCTCTCCCCTCATGCTATAGCGACTCACAGGTAAGCATATGGACATGTGCAGATGTCCTAACAGATGTTGGATATTCTGTGGACTTTGTGTACCACAACTAACAGCATTTTGTTTCTCCCTTGTAGTCTAGCAGAAGTCCATGGCATAAAAGGCAGTAGTACAGGACAGGCCACTTGTGGTCTGCCTACCTGGAAAGGCTTATTACGTGTGTTTGCACAAGGATATGACGAGTAGCTCTACCTGCCCAGCATTAAAAAATGCATGTGTATACTGTTTTTGTCACTGCAGAGCACATTCTTTGGTCTTGAAAACCCTGTCAGTTGTGCTGCACAGTAAAAACTGTGTAGCACTGTGGTTGTTCACCGCTCTGATGTTTTCAGTAATGTGTCAGGGAATTGTTGATGAAAGCTGTTCCTAGTGATGATTCAGTTCTGGGTATGAACGAAGCTTTTGCTACGTTGGCTGTTTGGCTAGCTAAAGGAGAGATCTTTTATTAAAATGATGTCTGTCCTGGAAGGAGTTGAAGAATGCTTCTGTGTCTCCCCGTCTCAGTTCCACTGTCTCTTATTATGCAGGTGAGAAGGACTCGATGATTTTTGACTGTACTGAATGTTACGATCCTGTTACTAAGCAGTGGACCACTGTGGCTTCCATGAACCATCCCCGTTGTGGACTGGGAGTGTGCACATGCTATGGGGCTATCTATGCTTTGGGTAAGTTCTGGGGTTTTTTCTAGGTAAAGTTAATTTAAAAGGTGTTAATTCATGGAACTTGTAAATTGATTTGATCTTAAATATTACATCTTGATGTTGCAAATTTGCAAACTTAAGTGTTGAAAACCAGCTGTTTACATGAGCATTAGTATACTAAATCTTTGTGGATTAGTTGTTGTTCAGTTGTAACTTATTTCCATTGTGGATTGCTTGCTGGTTTCAGAATTAGCCTGTCCTGGAACAGTGCACCATATGTCTGAAAATGCAGCTAACACACAGCTTCATGCCATTAAATTCTTCCCTGTGTTTGCTGTTATTTGCAGGAGGTTGGGTTGGAGCAGAGATTGGCAACACAATTGAAAGATTTGATCCTGAAGAAAATAGTTGGGATGTGGTGGGAAGCATGGCTGTGCCCCGTTACTGCTTTGGGTGTTGTGAAATGCAAGGTGAGTATTGTTGAGTTTATATCCATAAACAGTTCCGGGACCCACTGGATTTTGAAGCTTTATGTTTCAGTCATAATTTTTACTTTTCTCTTGTACTGTGCTGTCAGTTGCACATGCTTGTGCCTCACTTATTTGTTGTTCTAGTACTATATTTTTAATTGTGCAGAACTCAAAGACTATGAAGTTTTCTCTGTCTTCTGCCTTTTATCTCATGAAAAGAGTCTTTACATGGCTGCCAGTAAGGTTATCCAGCTAGTCTTTAACAGTTGGTTGTCCTTCCTGATACTGCTTTTCTTTACCTCCCATATTTGGGTTTATGTGTGTTTCTTTGTGACAGTATGAAGAGTTGCTATGGGTTATTTTAAGACAGACATGTCTAAAGACTTGATCTATAAATGTGCTTGTTAAGTATTTGATCCAGGCCTGGTTAGCAGTTGCAGCCTTCTGAATCCTCCCTCCTGCACTCGATTCATTATTGCTTTCATCAGAGCTTCTAGCGCTTGAGCCTCAAGTTGCTCATTTGAAAGCTTTATGTATACTACTACTGGACAAATGGAGGATTTTTATCTGGCGTTCTTAAGCCATCATAATGTTAGGCTGAAACCTGTATTGTGACAAACATTTTATATCTTTCAAACCTTTGTATTACGAAACCTGACAGAGGAGAAACTCTGTTTCTACAGGTTTGATTTATGTTGTTGGTGGTATCAGCAGTGAAGGAGTAGATCTACGTTCTGTTGAAGTCTACGACCCAATATCTAAACGTTGGTCTGAGCTTGCTCCAATGGGCACCCAAAGAGCGTATCTTGGTGTGGCTGCTCTCAACGACTGTATCTATGCTGTGGGAGGCTGCAATGAATCTCAAGATGCACTTGCTACTGTAGAAAGATACTCCTTTGAAGAGGTATGGTAGACTCCCTTCCTTTCATAAATGTAGATTGCATCAGCTTTGTGTAAGATGCTTTACACAGCAGGTAAGCATGTAACCTGCTTCCTTTCTTTGAAAAGAAATAAGTTAGAAATTCCGTTTCCTTTTAGCTACTGGCTGGTAATCTGAGTGAAACAAAGCTTTGTTGATCTCGGGGTCTGTCTGTCCTAACCAGTCTGTAGAGTCTTGCTGTTGACTTAGTGGAGTGTTTACAAAGATTGTATGCATGCTTTTGGGGAACTGAAAGCTAACCAATACTGATGATGCATAGATATACTCTAGTTTGGTAAATACTTGTTAGGGTTAAGATGGGGGGATGGCTTCCCCCTCTGCAATACAATGGTCAATCATCTGAATCTGACTAGAGAGAAAAAACTCTCTGGAAAAAGTAAGAGTTGCCTTTTGTTGTTTTGTTTTGGAGACAGATGGCATCTTGCAGCGAGTGAAGGAAGGGAGGGTTGTTGTGTACAGACAGTACGTGATCCACTCTTTGGTGACTAGCGTGATTTCGACTACTTGTGAAAGTGGTGTCATTTCAGTCTTGACACTGTACACCTACCATATTCGAGCCTGTGAAGTGTATGTGTAGTGTTCTTTGTATATGTTTCAGTCCTTAAGCTTTAAAAGTTATTTTTATCTGAATTGGGGCTTACCCTAAAACTACTTGTTGACTCTTTCACCTTCTCATTAGGAAAAGTGGACTGAAGTTGCATCAATGAAGATACCAAGAGCTGGTGTCTGTGTTGTGGCTGTGAACGGATTTCTTTATGCCTCGGGAGGCCGAGCTCCCAGTCATGATTTTGCTGCTCCAGTAACCTCTGACTCTGTTGAAGTTTATAACCCTCATATGGACAGCTGGACTGAAATTGCCAACATGATCACCAGCCGCTGTGAAGGAGGTGTAGCTGTGCTGTAAAACACAAAGAAAACTCATTCAAGGAATGAATCAATCTGGCTCCTCAGATTTTCGGTTTTATTTGCCAGAAAACTCTTCTGACACAGGAGCTTCAGTAGAAACAGTGGAGAATTAGATCAGAGGGCTTTTACTGAGCAAAAGGAAATATTAAAACTCTTGCCCTTCAGAGTAAATTGGCTTATCCAATGTCTGTCTCAGTGCCAGTACTCTGTTAGGAGTAGGAATGCCTCTTATGACTGGACTAAACTCACTGCAATACATGGCGAATTTCCCCTGTAAAAATCTGAAGAAATCATTCCAGTAGATTAGAGACATTAATCAGGTTTTTAACTTTTCTACGGTGCACCGAAGCTAGCATCTTTAGCTGGCCTTACAATCTGGAAGGAGGCTACTATAGACAGCTAGGAGTTACCTGTAGATAAGAGCAGATGGGCTACTTGGTTAGCATTAGTTGTCCTTTTCTGTTGGAAATCAAGGAAGAGAAGATAACAGATGGGGAAGACTTGGTACCTCTACTTATGACCTTGATTCACTTGAGCCTCTTTTCTGCTGCTGGGCATGACAGGCATGAAATATGAATTGGATGTTTACTTTCTGACCACCCCATTATCTTGGATGGTAAGTGGCTGAGAATTTCCTGTTCTGGAAGGTTATTCTCACAGTTCTAATAATTTCGTTCCACTTCAGGACAAGCTTTTCTTCTCAGTGGTATCAGTGATGACAATACAGCTGCTTTTACTGTAAGCTCTGATGAATTTCAAATTGATTCATTCATTAGATTAGCTGTTCTGTTTAGGACTGCTCTTAGTATAAAAATACTGGGAAAGCCTTCCCCTCCCCCCCTTGGTTAAATGTGGTTTTTACCCTGTGTGACACATGCTGAGACTTGGCATTGGAATACATATTCTACAAGGTACACACGTTCATCCTTGCTACATCTTGTGTCTTCCCTCTTCCAAATTTGAGCGGAGTGTTTTGTGAGAAAATTAGCTGCATTCGGCATTAAAGTGATGCTGTTAGTTTGTTTTGTCTTAAGGAGTTTGTATTTAGCTTGGACACGCTTAGTATAACAGTACTACTAGGAGCTTGGAGTTACTTCTAGATTTATTTAATTAACATACTTGAAGTTGTTTTTTGCACAATATGATTGCATTTTCTGCACAGCTGTGGATGATTTGGATGAAGTCTGAAATAAGGCTGCTTGAACCTTGATAGTGTTATTCTAGCCCACAAAATCACAACTGGGATGTCACGAAACAGAAAGCCTGCACTGTGTAGACAAAGGAGCATTCATGCTGTCTAGGTCAATATCCCCTGTGTAAAATTAACAAATTAATACATGAATAAAAGCCTCCAAGGTGAGTGTGGCCGGTACCTTAAGAATCTAGGTCTTGCATTCTAACTTAAGGCTGGGAGATTGCCAGGCTAAAACATGCTAGACGACACAGCATTTGTTTCTCTGGTCGTTCTATAATCTTATGTGTGTTTTTACTTCAAAAGGATTTCTTACGTGTGTGCACTAATGTCTATTCTGTCTTTCCCCCCCCCGCCATGTTTAAGCTTATTTTAAACAGTTTTTCATAATAAAATGCATTTTCAGAACTGACTGTCAAATGCTCTTAAATAGGTTACTTTCCTATCATAATGAGTTGTATTACTGCCACTTTTTTTTTCTTCCTTTTTTTACTGGAAATCCCAATTCCCAGTAGGACATTATGAATGATTGGTTATAAATGTTGACTATTTGAGAGGTGCAAGTAACATGCTTCTGTAGTAAAATACGTATTTCTCTTCTCTCTGTGAAATCACTCGGACGTCTTGAAAGTCTGGCTGCCTTGCCAGCTCTCTCCATCCCTCTCTGGGATCAAATGATAGTTAATATTTCTTAGGCTTTCCTCTTTACGTTTCAGGATCCCTTGTGAACCATTTAAGAAACATTACCTTAGATGTATTTTATTAGTTTGGGAACTACGAGCTCAATTCCAATCCCTACCTGTAAACTTTCTGGTTTAGTGGAGCTTGAGGGAGTCTGCTGTTGTATGACTTTACCTTCTCCAGTTTTTGTAGTTGATGCTATCGTGTTTAAAGTTCAAGTTGGTTGGTTATGGTCTCTCATACTCAGCACCTCTTTTCATGAATTAAGTCAAAGGCAGTACTCTTCTCTGGACCCGTTTTAAAAAACGCCATGTCTGAGTAAGAAAGAATAAAAGAACTGTTGTCATTCACAAACTCAAATTTTACTTCCTTCACTGAAATACATCACTGTTTCAGAGCTATGATGCTGCTAATGTGTAAAGGTTAACAGGTTAGGAAAGCTGGAGGCTCATGTACATAGTTGCTATTTCAGCAATACCATATAAGACGATAGCAGGATAGGCAGGTTTCTTAAATGTCTGTTCTTTGCAGAATGAACAGAGAACAGAATTTTAAGTGACAGTATGTGCTTTTATACTGTGAACAACAATGAAGAGAACTGCTTTAAGAGAACTATGACGATGATCTAAATTGGTCCTAAGACTGTGTGTGGATGTCACTTTTCAGTTTTCTTCTTGCATCTTATACTGTACTTAAAGAATACTTAAGATAAAAAACTCACAGTAAATATGCCCACATACAATTTCATAGGTTTCTTGATGTAGCTGAGTCTAGGAAAAAAAAAAAATCCATGTGACTTGGGATGTATCTTCTTCCCCTAAATGATGTGTTATGAAGACAAGTACGAACAGTGTATGCTCCTGCAGTGTTTTCGATCATTGGCCCATCATGGAGGGTTTGCAGCCTACAAGTCCTTTTGTGCCTAGCCCAGGTGCTCAAATAAAACAAGTTTTGAGGAAGGAGAAGTCACAAACTATTTTAAATCCCATTGTTTGATCCCTGAGTGCCAGTGATTGAGTCCTTGTGTCATATCATCAGTTTATAGTACTTTAATTTAGGCACACAACAGATCTTTATGGCTATGTTGCATGCAGCTTCCTTGGCTAGGCAGCCCTAAGTCCAAAGAAAACCTAGGAACAGATGGCCCAGGTATCCTTTTTTATTTAAGTAAGCCTGAGCAGGAAGCTAACCTGTCTCTTGTGATACAAATCTTCCCCTTCTATCTTGCCCTACTCCATCACAGCAGCGGGATGCTGTAGTTTAGGTGAGTGCTAACCTTGGGCTGCCACTGCAAACAAACCTTGCCTGTCCTTTCTTACCTGACTAGCACTTAATCACATGGCATTTTCAGCACCTTCTCAGCTGAAATAAGACAGAAAAGGGTTTTGTTCCACAACACGCGAATTGAACGTGTATGTGCTTTTGCATAATTCTGTGCTGCTGCTGCTTTAAACACTAAGAACTGCTTTCACCTTGTAGTTTCTGACTACACAGTTGTTCTCCCCACCACAGAACATTATCACACATTATAGTCAAACCATACTTTAATAATCCAGCATAGAGCAATTCATAGCCACGTCATTTGAATCTCCATTTTTTAAATTAGTACGACAGTAACATCTCATTCAAAAGTGTTGCTTTGTTCAATGGATAATACAGACTCATGGCTGCCATGGAAGTCACTGCTATTCACAATCCCTCCCTCCTAAACTAGCTAAGTTATTTGCGTCAAGAATAAGCATTTTGATCACTGCCATCTTATGACTTCTAAGCACAAATAAGTCTTTATTTCCCTTGGAACTCAATACAAATATCTTATTGGCAGATAAATAGCTTTTTCTTATTGATTGATTATTTTGTGTTCTGCCATTTATATCTGCTGTTACTTAGCTGCTCCTCTGACATAGTCTTCAACATGGCAGTAGCTAATAGGGATAATACCATCACCACTGTTCCTACTACCCTCAGTACTTTAAACCACCCAGGGTAAGTAGGAAGAAGGGAAATGTCATAATGTAGTGCTATCCCTAAGGCCATTACTAGCATTACTGCACCACGAGTGGTATCTTGAAAAAGTAAGGCTTGCCAGGCAAATAGAGGAGGAACTGTACTGTTAGCCAAGTTCAGCCAGTCTGGCTTGGCTGGGCTGGCTTCTGGGAGAGCAAACCCCCACCTCATTCCTCCTAGGAAAGAGACTGTTACGGCACCATACGTAATCTGAGCAAACGCCAGCTCTGGGTAGTAGGTCCCTTGGATGGCCATGGACAGGGGCACCGCAACAAACGGAATTAGCCCCGCGAGGCTTAAGTAAAGAGCTGGCTTGGGAGAATCCTTCAGTGATTTCATACTTCGTTGCAAGATGCCAGAGTCTTTGGTCTCAGATTCCTTGGGGGTTTTCTTCTTGAAGAAGGGGAGAGAGGTGTGAAAAGCCTGGAGCTGCGTTGCATATACTGAAGCTGGGTTGAGGCCTGGAGATCTTGAGAGAGGACACACATCTCTATGAAGCCGGAGGCCAAGAGAAGACCAAGTTGTCTTATTCCTTCCATACTGTAGTAGTCTGGGACCGGTTAACTTCTGCAGCTGCAAGTACAAAACTTGTTCTGAACACCTTACAATGTAGGCTTACGGATCTACAGTTACCTGGACTACCTACAAAATATTTTCCAAGTCAGGTCACATCACAGCTGCCCTTCCTCTCAGTTTTCAAGTGTTTTTAACTTCACTGATTAAGCTGACACAGCTCTCACAAGCTAGCTAACGGAAAAGCAACTAGGCTCTTCATAGTAAGCAAACCTTACTCATTACAAAAGGTTTGTATATCCACCTGTCCTTCCACTCACACATCCATTCTTTAGGCATTTTTAAGTTACGAAATATCGGTCCTTTTCAGAGTAGAATATAAAATGATTACAGAAGTAGGACAAGGTCACCCCAGAAACCAGCCACTATCCCCTCACTACCACAAAGATACAGGAAAAAAAGACCTATAGACAATAAAATTTGATTTTATAAAAGAAATATTTTAGCTTTGGCTAAAAGCTGCTGTAGAAACTAGAATTCTCTCAGAAAAGCTGAGTGATAACCATGGCTACTCCAACTTGTAAGATGCCTTTGTTTTCAATGCTCCAGTCATACATTTTGCTATTTTACATCTAAAGAAAAACAGAGAGCAAAGAAGGCTTCAGAAACTTACTTTGAAAGGTGTGTGGAAGCAGCATCGTTGTATGAGAGGAAACATTTTTGCTTTTATCAGGGCCCTAAGACAGAAAAATTCAGGAGAAGGTCTGAAACTGATGAACAGCTGAGTTTTCCTCATGTCCAAAGTGAAGTCGCTGTCTAGGCTTGCTTATCAGAGGTGAGGCCCTTATAGTTGTGCATTGAAAGATAAATATTATATGTACTCGATCCTTATTTACCCACTGCAGGATATTTTGTTTCAGGCAGCTCTATGAACTGAAGCCCTAAAGTTGCGGTAATTGTTACACAGACAATTTCTAGCTAGAGAACTGAGCGTCAGACCGCGGCTGGCGGATCATCTCCCTTTCACGGGATCAATGGCGGCACAAGGCTGACGGAGGACCAGCTCCCTGCACGGGGAAAGCCCGGTCCCTAACCACCGAGAAGCGGGAACTGCACCGCACCCGGAGCCGCGGGTAAGCGGCCTACTGG